GATGTGTTTAAAAGACATCTAGATAGAGTGCTCTGGGATGTAGTTTAGAAGTGAACCTGGCAGAGTGGTTGCATTTGATCATCTTGAAGGTCTTTTCCAACCATGATTCTGTGATTCCAATACCTGAAGGGAACCCACAGGAAGGCTGGGGACGGACTTTTTACAAAAGTGTCCACCAATAGGACAAAGGGAAATGGATTTAAGTTAAAGGAAAATAGATTTAGATTGGATCTTAGGAAAAAAATTCCTCAGTACGAGGGTGGCAAGACTCTGGAATAAATTGTCCAGATAAGTCATGGATGCCCCCTGCTTAGAGGTGTTCAAGGCCAGGTTGGATGAGGCCTTGAGTAGCCTGATCTAGTTGAGAGGTGTCCCTGCCCATGGCAGGGAGGTTGGATTAGATGATCTCTAAAGTCCCTTCCAAGCTAGGCCATTCTATGATTCTATGACTACTGGTCATTCTCCTCAGTGCTGTCAGATACTTCCTCTTGACAATCCATTTACTTAGCTGGATTATCCCCAAAGAGGCGACAGCTGAGTTTTTGCTTGACAAGGGAATCATCCACCAGGACATCAGTGAGAAAGAGAGGAAACAAAGATGTCTGAGCAAGAGCCAAGTAACAGGGACACAGGCAGCCGTGGCTGGCAGCTGGTGAGAGCACTGCCTGGAGGGCGAGTGACCAGCTGGGGCAGGTGGGCAGCAAGGCAGCCCTAGTGTTCAGCAAGGCAGGGTGACCTGTAGGGCAGCAGGTACCTCCTGGATGGCAGAGAGCCAGAGAAGCAGCTTGTGATAGTGGATGGGCCGGTAAGCAAGTGATGGATAAAGCTGAAAAGGGTGATTGGGAAGACTGCACAGACAGTGCTGGACTCTAACCTGGAGCCACTGGGAATGGTTCCCTTAAACTACCAGCTTGAGGTGCAGCGACTAGGGAAGTGAACTGGAGAAAAAAAAAAAAAAAGGAAAAACCCAATAGAATCTTGCCGCAAGGGAGCTGGCATTCCCTCTGCCTGAGCTGGATCTCAGAAGCAGCTCTTGCTGCCTTTCACGCAATAGCACAGTCTCCTGCATAGAAAAGTGACAAGCTGAAAGTTTCACAAGGCTTAAATTTCTTTCCTGGATCTATTAAGGGAAGAATAGAGAATTTTATAAGTATATTGGACAGCATCTAAAGTTCTGGGGAAAAAAAAAGTAGTTCTTCTTCTGGAAGTTGCCAAAGGCCTTGGGTTGTCCTGCTGCTGCAACTGGCCTCATCCTGGGAGGGTGTCTGTAAGGGCAGGAGAAGCTATTTATTGAGTACTTTGCTATTACAGGCCAGAAAACTACCTTACCCTCCAAGGGTCTTTACACAGACGTTCATCTCTTTGTACCTGCCTATGAATCTCTGAAAGGATCTTGTCTTTATCACCTGTAACAGCTGTTAAAGTAAATGATAATTAATGCTAATGTGGCTGAAATAGCTTACATGTTACCTACTCATCTCCTTTCAAATGAAAGCCCAGAGAAGTTACTTCAATACTTAAACATCTTATTTTGATATTACGGTGTCTAGACACAATTTACAGCAAATCTTCACTGGCAACAGAATCCAGCCCTTCTATTCCTGCATCCTAAGTTAAGGGAATTGAATCTGGGTAGCTCCATTGTACCCTTCCCTCTGGTACTCACCCACACAAACCAAGGGAGACTGCTAATTCTGGGGGCCTGTGCAAACACTCCAAAGTACAGCTTAGTTCATAATAACCACCTGACATGACGCAGAAGGGGAATGGGAGTCCCTGTCATTTTGAAATAAGTCATGCAAATGAGTTATGGTCCAAAGTCCTCAGTTTTGCTCACTGACAATATCTGTGCAGAATGGAGAAAGGGTTTTGTATTCCAATTAGGAATCTGCCTCTGTATCAAGGGAAGACTGTTCAACTTTGAGCCAGTTATCTAGGATATAAGAAACCCAAGATAAGTCCATTGAGTTTGCAATAGGAAATAAATATCATTACAACTAAAAAAAAGTCAATTGTTATTGGGTTATCATGTAGAAGATTATTTACTTTCCACTCCTTTGCTCTAACAAATATGATGTGTTTGTGCTCAGAAATGCTGGACCGTGTTTTGCCCAGAAAAGTAGGACTACCTACTACAGACACAGCTTTTATATTAACAAGAACAAGGGTAAATAAAAACCATCAAATCCCCATAATGGCTTAGTTGGATTTTGTAATCGCATGTGGCCACTAACTCAGCTCAAATCACTCCAGTCAGGCTTAAATGCACCTCCTACCATGGTGTGACGGCTCTTAAAGCCATCAATGAGTGAATGCTCAAATATGTTTCTCTTCAGATGCTGCAAGTGTGAACGTGGTTTCTTGTTTCTCACCCAGCTGTGGCCAGACAAGGACCTCCAACTTGTTCTGCCAAGATCACAGGATCAGCAGGAGCGTGCATACAGAGGGAGAGGAACCACGGGATACACAGCTTTCTTCAGGAAAACCCAACAGCGACGTGCCATATTTTGAAAAAGGGTGTGCGAGAGAAAGGGAATCTGATTACCTGGCACTGGCTTTCTTTTTTTATCCTCAGCCTGCAGCCATACTTTAATTCCTCAGAGTCAGGTAAGTGAGACAGGATTGCAACAGTAAAATGGTGTTTTTCTGAGATGGTCCAGAATGAGCAGGCAAAGGATCTGAACACTTGGACGTTGACAAGCAACAGCTAGCCAGACCTGCTTTTCTGCTTCAAATCCTTTGGCCCATCTCTGTTTTTATATGAGATGCACAAGAAGTTTTTAAGACTATGAGACAAAATAAAACACACAGCATGTCCATATAAAGGCATTCAGCAAGAAGTGCTGAAATTTATTCAAATTAATTACAATAGAGACCTCTGACTTTGAACTTCTAATTCACGACAGCAGTAAAAAAGGAAATAGTGAAATGGGTTGTATTAAAGTGCAATGATGTGGAGAAAACCATTGAAATAACACAAATGAGGCTGCAGTGAAAAATGAAAGGACAGTCTCATCCTAGCAATAACAGCAATATATAAGTAAATTATGTTACAGATAATTTACAAAATAACTTACATAGACAAAGATAAGTTGAGTCTCATGTTGCCATTCCATTGTTAAATATCAGACTACATATTCCCAGTCAGAATAGTATTATATGGGATAATTAAAAAAAGATCAGAGGATTTCTGTTTTGGAAAAGATGCCTGAAGTAAAACCCTGATTGGCCTTTATGTTGTAGTATTGCAAGAAACCTAAGTGTTTATGAATTGTAAAGTGACACATTCAGCAGCATGAAGACTATAAATACATCTTTTACATTGATACATTATATCTACACACATATACATATCTACACACACATATATATACACACAAGCACACACATGCACATATATATGTGTGTGTATATATATGTTTCAATTTGTACTGACCATGGCCAGCTGCATTTTGATTGCGTCTGGGGTAGGGTTGCTTTCACAACTCGAGAGCAAGATTATTCTTTAGAGTATTTGTTGTTTAAGTTTCCTAAGCTGCAGCCTCTAAAATATAAAATTATGGCATAAAGATAGGTCTCGGTCATCAGTGTCTGATGATTAACAGCAGTTCCCATTGACACAATCTGCTGTGCTTAGTGCTTCTGAAAAATTATGCTCTTAATGTCCATGTTATTTTTCCGTAATACGTTACATGAGTCAGTTAAAAACCCATTTTCATATAAGTAAAAATATTTGAGATGGACAGGAAGGAATGCAATATTCCATACATGCACACAGTTTTGGACTGTTTCTAAGGATGATGTACAAAGAACATCCGACACCATGAAAATTTACAACATTGGCTTACATCATACCTTGAAAAATGGCAAGTTTAACGTCATCCTTCCCTTAAAAAAAATTTTTAAATACTTGTCTGTAGAATAAATCTGACTCTAATAAAGATTTTGTTTTTCTGTGCTCCCCTTTTATAGAAAAATTGTGTCATTGTTTGTTTCTCTATGAATAAATCTACAACAAACACTATTGACTAAAAAGATGTCTGATTTCTCGCCTTCATAGGTTTGTCTGAAGGAAGGCTTTTGACCCATAGTGCAGCCACAGTAGTTTCCTCTGCCTGTAACTGCATGTTAATTGTGAGAGCTGAAGGTAATCATGCAATTACCATTTATTAAGAAATCATTTAGCGAATAAGAACCTATGTGTTTCATTGTGCACCTGTGTAAAGAAAAAAGATACTACTAAATTGCCAAGTCTATGTAAACACAGTGATCCTGGTAAAGAATTTGGTTGTGAGGTCAAAATACCCCAGAGAAAACAGCTATTTCATTGCACGCACCATTAAAAGTTTGGAAAGGATAAAATAATAATTTCTTTTGATGCTGTTGTGGTCAGTGAATTGGTCATGGCTGCATCCCAGTCTCTAAGGGAGCAGAATATCCTGAAGATCCAACAGAAGAAAAAAGGCTGGACCAAACCTCCTTCTTGGTTGCTTTAAGAGTCCCATCCACTGCATTGACTGAGGTATGTCCTTGGAGAACGGTGGCTTTTTGGGAGGAGAATTGTAAACTCTGATTTATTTTCCTCATACCTAGCCTGTACAGTGATTGCTATATTAATAGTTTACAATGAAGAGTTAGCACTGAACACATTTTGCCTGCTCACATTCAGATTCTGGCTGTCATGAAATGATACAGTTCTGCAGAAACCTGATTGTGTACGAGTGAGAAAATATGTTTTATGCTAACAGCTCTGCAGCTTCAGACTTCAGAGCCTCTCCAAGACCCTCATTTCAAATTGTTTAACTTTTATTTACAACTTAACACTCCATGCACTTTTCATTGGGATCTTCTCGGAGAACCTGTAAAAATCACCACTGAAAATACACAAGAGCTGGCAACACAGAACTGCTGGTTCTCTGTTGGAGTCCGAAGTCCAGAGCTCTGCACAAAATGAAAAACTCTGGATGTACCTTCCATGGAAGTGGGGCGAAAATCTTGTGTTAGCCCTTAATGTCCGAGAAGCTGGTGCTGCTGGCATTGCAGCTATCACTGCAACTTGATGATGTGCTCAAAGTGCTGGAGGCAGTGCCTGATTCTGGGAAAGCAAAGGCAAAACAAGAAAAAAAAAACACAAAAGAAAATATGATATGGTGGCTGTTTTTCACAACTAACTTTGCCGAAAGGAATCTTCAGAGAGAAAATCTCATTTAAAAGAAATAGCCTACCAGAGCTGCTTAAGGATTGAGCTGATTTTGAATTGCCTATGAGCATCAGCAGATTGTTTGCTGGGATCCAGCCTTCTCTACCAGTGCTCAGGTTCTTCACATACCTAAAAAAATAGGGGAAGAGAAAAAAGTCAGATTGCTTCATATGATGCCTTTGAAAGTTTTGCCCTAAACATCTGCCTTCCACACACAGTTCTGCGTATAAAAATCTCCAAACACAGATCTGCGTACCAAAGTCCATCCTCCCCTTCACGAATCAGTTGAACTAGTTCTCCACTTTTCACTGTAAATTCTTCAGCAACTCCTTTCTCATAATCAGTCACAACTGTATATTTACCAGGAGTCTAAATGCACACAGAGGAAGAACACAAACACATTATTTCTTTTGAGTACTATAAGGTAGAGTACAGATTTGTTAGAAAATTATAGTATTTTTCCCTTCTTTCTCATGCACATACATGCTGAAGATGGTATAAATATACATACTGAGAGGCAGTAAAACTTTGCTGTTCAATTACATGCAAATTCAATATATGAATTCTCACACCCTGAAAAACATTCTGCAAAATGTTTCCATTACAACAATTAGTTCAAATCTCTACAGGGGAAAAAAAAAAAAAAATCAAAAGAAAAGAAAAAAACCCCCCAAACTCAAAAAAACCAGAACCAAGCTGGCAAACTAGTGACACGATGTCTGTGTGGAAGTCTGTTGGCGTGGTGGCTGAGCAGGTCATCGCTTGACTGCCGCACCGTGGCACGAGCAGTCATGATCTTGTGAGTCTGCAGGTATACGAAGGCACAGGTACAAACACAAGGCTGATTTAAGAGAAGGGGCTATTTCCATCGCCCTAGGAATTTTGCCCAGTGTAGGATTTCAAAGTGGACACTTCCTGGAAGCGTCAAAAGCATTCCTGTGTGCTGCTGAGTGCAATGTAATGGGTATTTGCTGGGCTTGACAGCAAAACATTTCCGGTTACCAGCTTCATCTCGCCTCCCCCTCCTCCTCCTTCTTCCTCCGCATCTGATGAATTCAGTGGTTCCTCAGCGCTAGACCAGCCATCGTTTTCTTCAGATGCATCAAGGGAATGAGAGGTTTTAGCCCAACCTTGGGGAACAAAGAGCCGACCGTTAACTTTGCAGCAGTGAGACACAGTCTAGGAGAAATGTTCTTCCCAGTGAGAAACTCTTAAGTGATCAACACAAATGGAAGGAAAACTGGACATGGGGAAGTTACTACAGCCACTGGGTGAAATTCCCCGCTGGCAGAAGTTGGCCCATTTCTATCACAGCAAGTGGAGTTGTGGCAATGCACAGCTGTGAATTTGGCCCTTTGGACTTACAAAGAAGGAAACAGATGGACAGAATGCAAATTCCCAACTAAAAAGCAAGTACTTCTCTCATACAAAGATGAACCGTGGATAAAAGTTCTTTTTCCTGGAAGGAAGTAAAAGACAGGAACATATACTTTATGGGAAGAAGATGAACACACAGGTTTGTCACCCAAAGCAACCTAATCAGCCTGCTGGAACAAGGGATGTACGTGCACTGCCTTCTTCAAACTGCTGAGCACTTAGAGCCATCAAGAAATTCAGTAAGATACAGGCACTCTGTACTTCATCTGATGAGGCAGCTTATTATTTAAGGGTATTCAGGCTGACACAGGGATACTTAATCAGGGTGACTTATCTTGGTGTTCAGTCACTGCACCAAACACCACAAGAATAATCTCCTGCCTGTAATTTATTGCCAAGTGTTCTTTTTTTCTCTCTCATGGTGAAGCATGTAATTTATCTGCAAAGCTGAAGCATATCCAAAATGCACAAAATTCTTTTCCAAACAAAACTACACTAAGTTTTACTAGTGGGATGCTTTCCACTGAGGTCAGCAGCTGCTAGTAAATGTGTTGCTCTTATAATAAAGAAAAAGTCATAATAGAAGAGGCAAATATTTGTACATAAGATCTTGGTTCAAGCCAAATGGTAACAAGGAAACTCAATGAAAAGAATGAAAGGAAGAACAAACCTCCCAACTTTTATGTAACTGTTAGTCTAGCTGAGAAAGCACCACTATTTTTGCTTTTCACTCCTTCTGAGGCATTTGTTGCATGGCTGGTCAAGCCAGTGCATTAGGAAAAAAACCTGAGCACCTTTAGAGTAAATCCAAAGCAATCTAAGAATCACAGAAGCAAATCACACCCAGAGCACACCAAACAGAGTAGGACTTTTACCTCGCCTGCGCTGCTGGATGACCTGCACAAGGTTAGAAGTACTGACCCATTTGGCCCTGTCCAGGGTTAAGAACGAACTTCCATCTGTGAAGAAACTGAGTAATAAATTTCTGCTGTACTCCATGCAAATTTCCTTGGATTCTCACATCTTGTAGTTGGCTCATGGGACACAGCGGAAACCCTTTCTGTTATTTGCAGGCTAAGAACAATGCAACAAAAGAAAATTTGGTTTCTCCTAATTGTCCCCAGCTCTCATTAGAAACAGAAGCAACGAGTTGCACAAAAGAAAAAGAAAGTGAAATCACTGTAATTACTCTCTGTAGCATCATACTCATTGGCCTGCTCATCTGGAACATTTTAGTTAACAGCTCTAGTTCCTCACCCACTTCCCTTTCATATATTGTGCTGATCCCGTCGTAGCAACACTACTCCTGCACCTCATAGAAGCTGGCACTCTACAGTCAAGATATCCATATAAAAGCTCACCTGATCCTGGGCAGGGAGGGGAAGTGGTCACTATGGTCCTGGTCAGATTAGCTAATTAAAGGCACCAAAACTATGTATGCACATTCAATGTGCATGTGTGTATTCTGTACGGTGTGACTAAATCTCTGTAAAGGCAGGCAAGGTAAGAAAATGGCAGACAGTCTTGAAAGAAGACAAGGTTATACAGAAATGAGTTTAGATTTGATGGTGCCAGGAAAACCAAGAATTCATTAACTGCCTCTCTTCAGAAATGTGCCCACACGTTTCTTCAGAGATAGGATCTATCTGTAAGATGTGATTCTGTCACTTATTCATTTTCTTCAAGCTCACCATGATTAAGTCAGAGCAATGTGGTAGTGAAAGGAAATGAGCTTTGCTTGGGGGAGCTGTGGCCATGATCTGGTGCAGTGTCATCCTGAAATGCCCAGGCTAATTGCCTGTTTATCCTTCTTTGGTTTAGGGATGGAGAAGAGAAAGCGTGAGAAAAGAGATTAGAAGATCCAAGACAGAGAGAGGAGTTACTAGATGTTTTTAAATCATTTACTTGCTTTAGTGGTTTCACAAAGTGAGAAGCTGCTGAACAGGACAGAAAGCCAGACAAGTCTGTTTCAAAGACCCAAAAATTTTACTCTAAATTAGGAATGATCCAGGACTCTCCACACTGGGAAACTCTACCATCTGTGGAAAAGGCCACAAAACACCCTTTGCTTTCTGATAGTATTTTCAGGCCCTCAGGATTTCTGTGGTTCTTGGAGATATCACAGGCTTGACTGGTACCTGGAGAAGATTAACCTTGTAACTCCCATATCCACATTTGGGGAGTTTCTGCATGTGTCCAGCCTGGGATTACACCACCTGCTGCTCAGACAAAGTGAGTGGTTGCATAATTTCCCCAGCACAGTAGCTAAACCTGCACTGTTTCCACAGCTGAGACAAAGACAGAGGCTGTGGAAACCTGGAGAGAGGGATGATGACAGGGCTTGAAACAGCTTCATCCTCAGAACAATATTTTTCTAAAAGACATGGTGACGGAAAAAGAATCAAGAATAAAGGGACCGCTCTCCTTATACTCTCTAGTTAATTAGTCCTAGAGATTTGTAGTCAAGCCTTTGCCAACAACCTTGCTGTTTAGAAATGGGTCATTTAACTGACATACTTTCCTATTCTTTGCTTAGCTGTGGATTGGGAGGACAGGAGGCAAACTGCTTCAAGGGTTTCAGCTAAATCATCTGGAGTTTTACAGGGTGGTAAAAATTGCCTACAATCACCCAAAGAAAGATGAAACAGGACTGTGACTTAGAGTAATAATTGCAGATCTAAAATGGAAATTCCACATGATGGTGATGATGACCACTCTAACTAGAGTACATGAGTTTCTCATTTATTTATTTTCCTTTTTTAAAGGTTAAATCCGCTCCACAAGCAGCACACTGACAGGAGGATGCTAACTGGAAGACAATGTGTCTCACAGCAACTGGATGCCCCATAATTCCAGTAAAGATGCAGCTTCAGGTCATTTCTTCAGGAGAAGATGCCCTCTCCTACAAACTACTTAGACACATGCTACTTCATTTGATGCCAAGGTAAAACTCCAACCAGTTGTGCTATCAAAAAGAGTATATACAGAAGCTGACAGACCTGCTTGGAAAAATTCAGCTGATACCAACACTCTGCTCACAACAGCATCACATAGGTATCCCCAGCGCTCTGATGTAGCATATTACAGGAGGGAGGTGTGGATATTTGTGGAATACAGGTGTGGTATCACTATACCTCTTAAACCAAAAGGAGTTGGGTCACTCACTACTTCGTGTCGTTTAGCTTTTTTGTCAGGACTGGTAGGAGAAGCTGCAGGAGGATGAATAGGCAAAAAACACAGAAGAGAGATATTGAAGAACTGGAAAAAAGAGAATAGGTGGATTGCATGCTAAATACCTTTGAGTTTACACTGGAAAACAAGTGGATTTCTGTAATCACTGTAATCATTTTAGCCATCATTGGTCAATTACAGCAGAAGCAGTTAATTATTTACATGTAGTGATTATTTGAAGATAAATTGACAAAATTATGTTACAGTAATAGATAAAAGTATATGTAAACTTTTCTATATGAACTAGACATCAACTGAATACACAATTTCAATTTTAGACAAATGTTATCAAATTAAGCAATCATTTTTATATAAATCTAGTGCTACAGCAATACCTGGTCCTGTAAGCAGGATCATTGGCAATGTCTGGCTTTTAGCAGAAGGAGATGGAGTTTCTGTCAAGGCAAGCATGGGATATTAGTGCTCACCTCATTAGCATTAGATACATAACCGTAGAGTCTCTCCAGAAAGAACTCAAAGGTAATCAGGTTTTAAAAAGGCATTCTGAAAAGATGCTTGGCAAAAAAGCCAAAAAACCAAATCCATGCTCTTGAACAAGTGCCATCATCTTAATGCAATTCAGAGTGCTCAAAGACAGCTGTTCAAAGCAAGAAATGAGTGTACCAGCACAATTACTTGGCAGGAGGAAGCAAGAAAGGTCTCAGATTCTGCCTGTGCATTTTAGGAGGAAAAAAAAAACCCCAAACCAAAAAACCCTGTTTCTGGAAGCACAGGGAAATTTTTATTTACTTTTGTATCCAGCAAAGCAACATACAGATTCTGCTATAGTCATGCTTTGGGATTTCTGTTAGAAAGGATGCTAATAGAGAAATACTCTAGCAAAACCTTGATTCCTTTTTGCCAAGTATAGGTGCATTTGGGGCAGATCCACTGAAGCTAGGAGCAGGCCAGATGTTTGATCTAAAGACAACCTCCTTCCTCTAGTTTTCCTACAGGATGGGGCACGGTAAGCTCCTTCCTTGGTCTCGATAGTGAGACTGGAGGCACTGGAAACTGAACTCCTTCCCTTGCATCTCCAACAGCTCCACTTTTCCCAGGGGCATCTCCCCCTCCCTCTCTGGAGGCAGTTTCTCTTGAAAACTCCCTGTCAGGGTCTGTGACTCAGTAATGTGGCTTGGACTTATGTGAACAACCTAGTGCATACACTGAAAATCTGTTACACTACACACACATACACAAAGTGATGCTTCAGTTATAGCCTTAAACAGAAAACAGTCAGTCTAGCTTTTTTTGGTTTTGTTTTTTGGGTTTTTTTCAAATTACCTTTCTGACTTTTGAGGTTAGCAAAGCCCTGCAGTGTAAAGCACTTTTTTGACAGTACAGAGCATTCTGAGGTAGAGCTAGTGTCATCTACAAAGGAAGAAAGAGACACAGAAAGAAAAGAGAGAAGGCCATGAAAAGAACAAGGCAAAAAATCGTTCACAGCCCTGCCAGGAAACCTGTATCTTAGGATGAGAAAGGACAACTGAAAGTCCAGATACAACAGAAGAACCCAAGTGGCCAGTTGTTCTCACTACACAGGGGCTTGTGCTGCCACTGTTTTGGTAAATAATCTCCATGATGGGAACCAAAATTCAAGGGAAAAGAACCAATCAAAAGAACACCCCAACCCCTTCAGAACAGGTACTATCAAGAAATTTAACCAGAGGACAAGAACCCTGAGAAGCTGGGCAGCTCTAGGAAATGACTTCCTGCAGGCTCGCACCTCACAACACAGTTCCCAACTCCTTTTGGTGACCCTTCATTCGAGGTGGCTTTGGGCCTGTCCACACCACACAATGTAAAGCAGAATCCCCCAAGCTGAGGGCAGAAGGGACTGGCACGCGGGTGCAGCGTGGGCAGCGCGTTGTGGGGTGGGCTGAAATCCCTGCTCCTTCAGCTGTGATGCTGCCCTTCCCTGCACTACCGTGGCCACTCTGCTGGTGGATCTGCCTGTGCATCGGCAGTGCAGGCATGCTCCTTGCAATTCATAGGAACAATGCACACGTGTAAACTCACCTTTGCATTTCTCAGGGTGCTTTGGTGCTACTGTGGTGCCATAACCTTCTAGGCTTGTGAGATCAGCTTTTCTCTCCTCCATTTTTTTGGTGTTTCTGATGTGGTTCCGTGAAGGACTGCTTATTGGAAGAAAATTAAGACAATCAATCCATCTCCAGCAAATCTGGGTCTGAACAGGGGTGGTGACCTTTGGTCACGGGCTGCCTTTTACACAAAGATAGATGGGCTAAAAGCCACTTATTAGCTACTTTCTGGATCATAGCTTCCAGGACCGAAAAAGTCATTGGTGATAGTGCATTTAAGGACCATGAGTCCATACAAAAGAGAAAGGCTCCTCTATTTTACTGCAACCATACACACTACAGCAGTGTGAGCTACTGAGAAGCTACAGGCACACATTCTGTGCTGACAGTTTCCTCCTGAATGTACTAAGAAAAAAAAAAAAGAGAAAAGGAATAAACTCTGCCCCTCATAACCTCTTAACACAGGAACAGATGAGGGATGAACAAAGAATATAGGTTGGAACTTGCAGCTGGATTCCCATCACACCTCTGGTTGGGAATAGAATGGAGAACAACATCCCACAAATACTACACATTTGGGAAATTCTCCCTGAGCGATAAGTAGATGCAAACCATCCAAGGCAGAGAGCTACTGGTACATATTCGAACACGCAGCGTGTGGGAATGACTGAAGATGTAAGCACACGGGCATATGGATATATACACATATAATGAAAAAATGAGTAGCAAAGGATTAAAAAGAGGTGTCAGAAAAAGGCAGAAAAGCAGCTGAGAGCAGAACAACATACAGATTGGTAGGGTAAAGAGTAAAAAGTAGGAAAATGAGAAAAGCTTGACTCAGAGGTTGGGATACTGGAAGAATCAACATACCAGTTAAAAAAAAAAAAAGAAGAAAAAGAAATAGAAGGGATAGACAAAAGACAATGCCCTGAAAAATACAAAAAGGAAGATAACATGAAATTAGAAAAGGAAGAAAAAAATTATCCTGGTGTAGGAAAAGAACAGAGAAGGAAGGAAAAGGCTGCACCACATAATTCTCTTATCTGGGGTGTGAAGTATATAATTAGCTGTTCAACAAACAGTCCCATAATAGCACCAGCATTTTGGCTGGTGCAGAAAATTACTTCTCTGTGCTGTTCTCTATCAGCCGAAAGAGCCCATGTCACTGCTGGTCAATGTAACAGTTCTGGAGAAGGATAAACCCCACATTTTACCTTTTCATAGTAGGAAGAGACCTAAAAGAACCCCTTAAAACATAGGGGCCAGTATTAGGGGATTGGAGTAATGAAGAACTGCAAGCTAGATATATAAGTATTATTTACAAGACAGCCAGGCTGATCTGACAACCTACTTACCTTGTACAAGATGATGCTGGTAGAGGTAAACTCTGTGTTTGTTCTAGTGTCCTGTGCTGACTAGCTTCTGTATTGGAAGGAAGAAGAACTATTAAAATTTATTTGTGTTTTGAACATTTAAGTTCTACAGTCCTACACACTGAAGGTATACAGAGCAGGTTTTGAAGTTCAAAGAGAAAAAGAGATTAAAAATGTATTTTACCTCTGCATGCCTGCAGTTGACTCGTCAGTACTTTTCTTATCTCATTTACCCAAGTAGCTTTAACTTCAGGGGTTGGTGCCTACCCAAAACCAAATATAATCAGCCATCAAGCAGACAAAGAGTTGCATGCCAAAGCACAGCCTTAGAGGAATCCTTCAAGAATGACAGAGTTCCCTTTTCTGCTCCTTCAGCGAACAAAACTAGTTGTGACAACTGGAACATGCTGGGGCAGAGGCTCTGCACGTGCTACAGTCAAACCCTGGCTCCCAACCCACCCACTGCTCCAGTGCGAGCAACAGGAATGGCACACACAATATCCCCCAGCGATATTGTAAACTGTGACTACTTTTCCCCCCAGAAGACTGTGCATTTGAAATATATTAAGAAGCTACCTTATGAATCTATCTGGTGGTGGTTTGGACTTTTCACCTTCTTCCCCCACCTCCTTTTTCTACATTTCCTCATCACTGTCTATTAGTGATACAACAGAGGAAAAAAATCTCCAGATCTTCTTAGTTAGACTTCCCCCCCACCTTTTCTCTGCCTTTCCCCCTCCCGCTCCCAAATATAGTATCGACATGTTATTTACCTGTATAATGTAAACTTCTTCCCTTGCATTATACCAAATTTCAAACTTTTTTGCATCACCTTTGACATTTTCTGTTATCCCAACTGCTGCCATCTGGAAGCAAAGAGAACAGAAGCTGACCTACCACACAGCAATTATGGTAACAATGGAAGCAGGCGGCTACTGGTATTCTTTGGTACTCAATTTCAGAAAAGGAAAACCACCTTTGGCCTCTTGCTTAAGGAAAAGAATAGCTAGTAACATATGATCCACACATTGAACATAAGAGATTTAGTGTTTTGTATCAGCTTAGCTATCTTGGAGGGAAAGAAAGGTTTAGGTACATTAAATGGAGATTGACCCACAAGACACCTCTTTTAAAATCCAGACCACCAAATCTTTCATCTGTTTAACGCTACCCTGCTCTACATTTTCTGTGTGATTTAATGCAACTGCCATTCAGCCAGACTTGGATTTTCTCAAAGGGTAATTTCCTGCCTACCATCTCTCTAGCAGACAGCAACATGAGGTCACACAGACCTGCAGCACCAGTTAGGTTTGACTAAAAGGGCAAAGTTTCCAGTGTAAAACTGTAACACAGCTCTGCAGGCAAAAAACCTAGAATGTTGTGTTACTGCAGGCTAAGCCCTCAATACCTTGACCTTACTGGACTGCTCAGCGTCTTACATTTAAGGAGTGTTTGTAGCTATAGGAAGGTGCTTTCTCGTATCCCTCTCCATTTTCTTCTCGCTTTTTACAGAAGAGCACTGCTTTCTCGTGGAGGAAGAGATGTCGCTGCATTGGCTTGAAGCGTGCTAAATCTTTCACCTTTGAGTGACCCTTTTTATGATCAGTCCAGACATTGAAGGATCCCTGCATTAAAAGCTTGCCCAGCTCATTCAGGTTTCCCTGGAACAAAGAAAAGCAATATTTATAACTCCAAAGAGATAATATCAGACTAAAATGCATACTCTGAACAGGTCTTTGCAAGTTGTATTGTTCCAAATAATCTCTCACATCAGTGTTTATGCTGGGTTTGGAAATGCAATGAAAAGACAGTCAGTGTTGGATTTTTACACCTAATTTTCTCTCCCTAACACTGTTCAAGGCAGGATTTTAGAGTCAAGAGGAACAGTAGCAGAGATACAGAGATCTACACACATAGAGAGGACGCAACACAATACACATATTTGTTTGTTTGAGGGTTTTATTTCCCAAAACCTTCTGCTCCAAAGTTGCCTATGTTGTGGGTTGGTATTGTTTGTTTGTTTGCTTGGACTGGAAGTTTTGGGTGTAGTTTTACACATAGATATAAAAACTTAGCAGCAAGTCCCATGTGGCAGTAGCCTAAACCAGACTCTGCATGATAATTTTCAGTTTCTAACTCAAGTGTCAAGCAGATCAAAGAAAAAAAACCAACTTGTGCAGACAGAGGAAAATATTATTCATAGCAGCAAAACTTCAGAAGAGCATAGAGAGAGCCATTCTGCATTATTTCCATTGCACAATTTAATTTAAAGGCACATTTTACAAACCATTCTTCTCATTATTAGTACATGGTATAGGGTACACTGTACATATATCCAAGAAATAAATGAAAATAAACTAAAAATGAAGTAAGAATACTGTTACTCACATCATAGCCTGTAATGGCTATCTGGTGCATAGAATCATTAACTGCTTTGAGAATACCCAGAATAGAAGTTAATGCCTCCTGAAGATCTTCAGCACCATCACAGTTCTTACTGTACTTGAGCATTTCCTGAGTGGGCAAGGCAACGACAACACACATACTTAGCTTCGGAAACAGCAGTAACTAGGAATGTTCAAATTTTAATACAATTTGGGCTGAGTTTTTTCCAGCTAACCAGTAAAGTTTTATACCATATAATCTAACAGGTTAAATAGAGACTGGAGTTCAGAAGATCTTGAAGTTTTATTTCCCATCTCTGCTGTTAGACAAATACGCTCCATTCATCCAGAAGTTTTGTAAATTTTACCTAAGAATATTACAAGACTAGCTTTGCAAAGATGTTTCTCATCACAACTGCTAAAAAAACCCACCAACATCCAAATCACCAAACAACATAAAAGGGTACTTATTCTATCTGTTACTTTTTAAAAGTGAACAAATGTAAAAATATAGGTAAATTTCTTTTACTATGTGAATAACGGTTAGGCCTGGGATGCTAGTAACAGACTTAACCTTACTGCAATGAGCACTGTCTACACATTTAAAAAAAGCATCCCTTCTCCAAAGGGCTTATTGAAGAGAGCTGCATCTTCCAATTTGATCCAGATAAACATAGCTGCAAGTTCACCTGGAACTCCCCAGACTCCATGGTATGAGTAAATAAGCATTTACTCTTGGACAGCAGGCAGTGAAGATACTTTAAAACAAAAACCTTTCTAATACTCCTATCTTTATATAGACAATGTAATTACTTCTTTAAAAGCTGTTACCTTCAGCTTGTTTTTAACTCAGGAGTAAATTTGGTCTGAGGTAAATTTTTTTACACTATTGTTAAATACAGTTATTGAAATATGTGTCTATGTGGGAAATATTTCTTACTTCAAACATGTCAAGACCTTATACATTAGTTTAAAAGTTTATGATAATATATTGTTCTCATTTTGCTCTCTCAGAATAGCATGTTTGAGTGAATCACAACAGCATCCTTCATAAAAACACCATACAGTGGTCTCGGTCAAGTGCTTTTCCTAGAATGCATTTCCTAGAAACCAGCAACGGTTTCTTGCAAAGGTTTCTTGCAAAGGTTTCTTGCAAAGGTTTCTTGGTCCTTCTTTTTCTCCTAATCAATTTTTCATTCTTCTCTTCAGCAGAAATATAAGGACAGAAGCAGTTACACGAGGTGCCTGCATAACATTTGCCTGCAGTTTTTAGTGAAAAAGAAACAAGCTGAAAGCTGATAGAGTGGGATTTGTCTCTGTTTCAAATTCTACGTCTGTCCGCTCACTTTTTGATTTCTCTCCAGTAGTCTGATTAAAGCAGCATTTAAAAAAAAAAATTGCACAAAATGTACTTAGCATTATAGTTTAGTAACACGTACCTTTAGCAATAATTGGTATTTGGTTATTCTTTGAACGGGTTTCAGCAAGTATGAGTCCAAACTGAGCTTGTGATCAAGTTTCCTTTGTCATTCCTGTAATCAGTGTTGGATTTTATCAGGACACTAATCAATATTTTTGTTATTTGATCTTCAGATGACTAAATAAATAAATAAATAAATACCCAACCCTGCCAACCCAAACCACAACGAAAACAAATCTACTATTATTTTAAAGACTCAAGTGAGCATAATACCTGAAAGAAGACAGAATCTGAAAACTGTCTCCACAAACTTTCAGATCGAGGTTTATTTTGACAGTATTTTTCATAAATCTGGAAATCTTCCATCTGAAATTGGAGAGACAAGCAGAAAGTTAATAAATTCTTGTGACCCGAATAGACAAATTTAGTAAGATTTTTTTTTTTCCTAATAAGGCTAGGAAAAAGCAGCACCCAAAATGCAATACCTTGAGGCATCCCAAGTAAAAACTGAGTACTCAAAATCACTGACTTTGCAATGGCTACCAGTTCTGAACTTGGAACATCAGAATAAATTGTTCCTGTTAATTTTTGCTTCAGCTGAATGTTAAGCACCCTACAGAGAAGTGTATATTATATTTACTAATCGTTTAATAAACCCCAGATGAAAATGAACTTAATCCTGTCATAGCTTTCTATTTACAGGATTAAAATATTTCGGATTTACTCTGTTGGGATGTATTCTTTAAAGAAGACAGAAAAGAACAACAACAACAGCAAAAAACAAAACTGAGAAATCTAACCAAGTAAACCAATCTTTTGTAGTGATGTGAAAGGACAGAGTGTATATCTCCTCTGTGTTTTCCTGACACCTCAGTAGAGCCATTTTCCTTCAAGAAAGTAGTGACTCTTTCTAAATTGTAACCACCCCACACAGCAGAAAATATCCCCAACTGTCAATTAACATCTACATTCTCAACCTGTTACCTATTCAAGACAAATGAAGGGGATGTGGTGGCAATTACTACATGAAACTCATATGTTACAGTCTTAGAGGGGCTTAACAAGGAAATGCCAAAAAAAGATGACACGTACCTGATCGAGAAAGCACCGTCCTACTAGTTCTGGGTATTCTACATAGTTTTCTAGTTCTCTCAAGAATATTCTACAAGGAAGAAGATTTTCTTAGACCACTCGTTAAAACAGTTGTACTAACTGTCCACATTCTTGCAATTCGTTTTCTAGACTTTTGGAAAAATCGTTGTACTAAAAAAACTAAAGAAAACTCTTTGAGATCATGTAAGTAAAAAGGGATAGCAAATTACAACAAATATTCTAATGAATTTATTTTAGCTTACTGCTGCTATAACAGAAATCAAACAGAAGATTGCGAAGGGAAGAAGGATTTTGTTTCCCTGCCTTGTGTATTTGGCAGTAGAATTTGTACAGTTTAAAGCGTTAGGTTTTTTATTCCAAGTACTACCAAACACCAGAAACATACAACTGAACCAAATCAAAAAGATCAGTGGCAAAACTACCAGTTTAATTTTGCCTGAATAAGAAACAACTATTTAATGAGGTTATCTTCTTTTGAGAACAACCTCTTGTCTACCAATTAAAATATCCCGTGAATACCTCTCCAGCAGCAAGGATTCAAACTTCAGAGAGCGGTTACTCAAGCATAAAATTAACCTGCCTCAACTAGATACAAGAGTTGGGAATTTGTAGTTTAGAACAATAATTTACTTTTCATAGCAAATTTCATAAAAAAAAAAAAGAAACCCAAACAAACCCTGCAACGAGTACCCAACATCTTTCCTCAGGAAGAGGACAACAATGCAAAATTTTATCTGTGTCCTGCAAACACCTGAATAAAGTTTCACACAGCTTTGCTCACCTTTTATAGATATTTTGCTTTTCCTCTTCTACACAATGTGAATTTTGACATGCCAGATAGCCAAGTGGAAACTCAGTCAGAATCTTTTAGCAATTTAAATCAGATTAAAAGAAAGAGTAAGGAACCCCACCCAAATGCTATTTTTATGTTGGATTGCAAAATCCTCACCTGTTGTGAAAGTGATAAATTTCTTCCATATTCCCAAACAAGATATCCTTCTTATTTTGGAGTTCTGGTGAAATAAGATGAGCCATTAAGGGGTTGTCCATCTCTGCAGCATATCCCTGCAACACAGGAGAGAGGCACACTGATTTTCTCCCTTGACTTGCCGTACTTATCTCTCTCTGACAAGGCAGTCTGCCTGCAGGCTGACAGACAGCAAAGAAAAAGCACAATATTAATCATGAAAAAAGTATACTGTTTCTGATTTTCCCTCAGTCCAGTAAGATACAAGCATAATCTTTAAAAAGACACTTGAGTAATTACTGCAATGTTAGTTAAGCAAGGAGGAAAGAAAATTTGCAATTATTTCCACCAAGTAAAGGCTATATATTCCCATACTGCTTACAAATTACAGTTCATAATTTTTCTATCAGACTTTACACACTTGAGTTTAAAGCCACAGTTCCAGTACCCACATAAACGTTCATGCTAGTCTTAACTCTTAGTATGACAGAACAAGCTGACTGTTATTTCTTCAGCTAACAGTAATCACTAAGCTGCAAATTCTATCTTTAAGACATTTACATTAGCTTTGGTACTAAAAGTCATAAATTTAGATTCTGACATCTTCTATTTTTCATACAAGGCCGCATTCTTTTGTATCTGGCATAGATAGGACTGCTGTCCTCTGATCCCAAGGTCACTAATCTGCAATTAAGTGATCTCTCAAAACACTAAAAAACAAAATACCAAACAACCCTCCCCCCAAAACATCAAACTCAAACAAGACACCCCTAATCAATTAAGCAGAAAAACTGCAAGAGTTCTCTAGTACCTGTACGGTAAGCAGATTTCTTAGTGTACAGGCACCTAAGGAAGATGACGCAACCCACTTTAGATTTGGGTTAGGTTTTTTGTTTTGTTTAAAACACAATTACCATGGACAAGGTGGTCACTGCATTAGTGACACTGATTACAGCAAACTGCAGTGAATTGTAACAACCTGAATTACATTTAAGGATAAGCAAAAGTGCACCTACAACCAAGATTTTAAATTTCAAAGTGATGTAAAAAATACATAAACTAGCAAAACTAGCTGGTAAAGTCAGCTAGCCTAGTAAGATTTTTATTTTTATTTTTAAAATCAGAAACACTCTCTTAAAAATCTGGGCATTTTTTTCCCTCGAACACCACAAAAAAGAAAAAACCCAACAGTACAGGCAACGATGCTGCAGCTCACAGATACCTAACCATTGGTGTCTATCTCATATCTCTCCTCCCAAATAGGAAAATGCAGAGTCTGACAGAGAGGGGTGAAAAACCAAAGTGGTATAGCCTTAAAAAAGATAAACAAAATTTACATAAAATAGAATTAATTAAAATTAACAGAGAAAGAACACCATGCAGTTCGGATACAGTGACAAAATGCATGAAGAGAATGATTAATTTCCACCTGAAGTAAAGATGATACTGAACATAGCTGCAAAGTCAGGATTGGCATAAAGAAAGGGTACCTAAACCAGCTGAGGTGAAAACAAACTTGACGGAACTCAGTACTCTGGAATTCTGAAAGAATAAAAGCCTGAAATCCAGCCACTGACAAAACGCTTTTGACATTTATTTTTTTTTAACTTTCAGGCTGATGTAATACTTCTTAAAAAAAAAAAATAAAACACCTCCATGTTTTACTCCCTATGTAGTACTTGTGTTTTAAGAAAGGTGAGGGAAAGCTACTCCATGCAGCCATGGGGAATCATTTAATCTTGCTTTAAGAACATATAAGGCTTTGCTTAGTCTTCTATTTGAAAGGTGTTCCAAAAGCATCAAGTAGAAAAAGGAGGCAATACCTAAAAAAAGACCTGGTCACTATTTTTCCCCAATAAAAATAACTGTATTTCACAAAATAAAGTTGGATGACTGTGGTTATTAATGAAATGAAAACTACCAATCTCGGACAAAAGCAGCTATGGCAGTCTTCCAGTAATCAATCTCGGGAACTATCTTGTGGTTTTTTGGGTTTTTTTTCCCCTTTTGGAATCCTTGGCAGAGAGAAAATGTATGGCAATTAAATATGACATAACAATAGGAGAAAAGGAGGATCAGGTTAATTTTACAGGGAAAATAGGAAGATTAATAGAATAGGAGAAACAAAGGAATTGGAAGAATAGCCAGAACTACGGATTAATAACTAGAATTACTCAAAAGCTGGAAGACTGCCGTTGAACCATACCTCAGCAAGGATCTCATCTAGAATTACTGCTGGCAGTCCTACTCACCCAAGTTAGAGAGAGATAGATCCCAAACAGCAAAGATGCACCAAGAAGTGTGCCTGGCATGGTGAGAGTACTGGACAGTCTATCACACTGGCAGAAAACCAAGAGAGTCTGGCCTAGCAAGGCAAGGATTGCACTCTACAGTGTGTACATGCAAAGCAAGAATAACACCAGAGGAATAGAAAGATTTCTGCAACAACCCTTCAGCAGCAGCAGTAAGGACCAAAAATCCTCCAACTATTTTGAGTTTTGATCTTATGAACAGAACTGTACATACATCATTGCATACAAAAGCAGAGAACAAATCAATCCTTCAAGGTCCGCTCCAGACCTACCTTGCTTTATTACCACACATCAGATGCAACCATCCTACCGTTATCAACACTTCCAAGGTCTTGGGCTGGACCCCGGACATAAATGCTGTGGGAAGCTGAGCACAAACTAGACAAAACCAAGATCAGAGTTCAAACCTCTCATACAGTACTCTTACTTGAAAGTATGTACTCAGAAATTATCACTCCCAATCCACAGAGTAAGGCAGCTCCTATTTAGGAGTGTAACATTGGCGTGCACACCAAGACTACCCAGTGGGCACAATTCCGATTCATCCTGATTAAAATAATTCAGTCTCAGTTATCTGCAACTTCATCATCTCCTACAGTCAAATTGGACTACAACAGAATGACACATCCGTGTCTGGAGACTTAAACTTGAGGAACAACACAGAATACTGCAGCGTATTTCTACAAGCAGCTCAGTAGGACTGGAACTGTGCCTCCAGAAATGGGGAGCAAAGGGAACACCTCTGTTTCCTTTACAATTCTGAATCAAGATATTATTACAAAGCAGTCTGTTGCCACATTTGTACCCAAGACATTTGAAAGACCACTTAAAGATAGGCAAAGAGGGAGGTAAGAAACTAATCTTCTCCTCTGACACAATGTAGATTCACATTCTGTGTGACACAAAACCTTCCTGGAGTTGACCCAAGACTCTGGGATGAACTTCTGCAGGAACTCACGATCATTACAAATCTCACTACGTTCCACCTAAATACTTAGGCATATCTTATTTTCTGTCCAGTTTGTGTTTTCTAATACAAAATCATAGTTGCACGAATATTTTTAGAAAAAGATTGCCATTCTTGTCTCCGTGAAAATATGATGAGTGAGGAAAGATGTAATGATCACATTGCTTGATGAGACAAGCAGAGGCATTAGAGTGGTAAGGAAAGCATAGGAGCATCCGTGAAATGAAAGAAAGAGATTCACTAACAGCTGCTGTGAAGTTTAATCTTTACCTCAAGAACACAGAGAAGTTCTTCCACATATGCTCGTTCAGTCTCAATAAGTTCATTAATCACATGCCTGCAGACAAAGAATGAAAATTAAGGCAGGCCTATTCACTTGTGAAAAGTGATTACTTTAACTCCGTGTTTGTACTTCACTTTATCATAGAATCACAGAACAATTCAGGTTGGAAAAGACCCATCGAGTCCAACCATTGACCCTACACTACAAGTTCACCCCTAAACCATATCACCCAACACCCCATCTAAACAACACTTGAACACATCCAGGGATAGCAACTCAACCACCTCCCTAAGCAGTCTATTCCAGTGTCTGACCACTCCTTCCACGACTTTAGACAACAAGAGAACAATTTCCAGATAACTGAAAATGTTACGTTTCATGGATATTTCTGTCAGCAGTTTATTTATCCTTATCAAGAATAATGTACTTTTAAAATGTTTCAAAATTTTTGAAAATGTGTTTAAAGAGGAAAAAAGTCAAATCTAGCATCTTAAGTGCTGTAGTAACTGAACTGAAGCAGCAAAGCATTTTATCACTGTACACATAAAATCTGGTTATGCTGTGTTTGCAAGTATTACAGGAGCTGGAGTTAGAACTGCATAGGAAATACAGACTTAAAGTTACACCAGTCACTTTAATTTAGAGGCATTTAGGGCACACTTACAATATCATAATGCTGCTTTAATGTCCCTAATGGTCAAGCAAGCATGCTTCCCTCTTAAATCTCCCTCCCCCTTGTAATTTTGTACAATTTAACATGTGGTTTTAAAGTGATAAGACAGAAGTATCCAATTTACAGGTAGAACTGCAAGGTCTGCTTACATACATTGCAGGTGGTATTAAGTTATTTTCTGGATATAAGATATATTGTCCAGATTTTATATAAGAGATTTTTCTTAACGTTTATCAAAATAGGAACTAAAAAGAACCATATAAAAAGACAAAGCCTTCTGAAGCATGGAGACCAGAACCTTGGATAGATTTGCAGGAGGCTTTTTACTTGAAACTATGTCACCTTTGAAAAGAAAATATGTAGTTAACCTGCCATAGCATCACCTCACTACAGGAAAGCTAGGGTCTGGTATTATATAAACTACAAATAATGCTGCAGACTGAAATACCTTCCTCTGTGTAGAGAGCATATTCACGGCATTTCAAAAAGCACTGCGGCTTAATTCAGAGAAGTGTACTTGTCTTATCCAGTCCTTAGCCAAATTCAGGCTTTGCTGGAACCAAATCAGAGAAAAAGCATTTTTTGTTTATCAAAATATACTTACTGCCGTAACACAGCTAGGTTTTCCTCATCATCCATTGTAGATCCTCCTCTGCTTTGATGGAGTTCAGTCATTTCACTCTAAAGAAGGAAACAAACAAACAAAATCATCACAGCATCACAGATGTGGGAAGAACACTTTAAAATGTGGAGCTCTGCACTCAGCTCTACTTGCCTGAGCTTTCACAGGAAAGGCTGTACCATTAAACAAGAGGGCGATTTGCAAGAATGTTGAAAAAAAAAAAACCACCCTAAATCCAAGTCAACCTGAAGGTCTTGACGCACACAAGAATATTTAGACACAGGGAGCTTTCCATGAAAAGCCAGCTTAGAAAAGGCCGTGGTTCGAGGCCCCTTTCCAGGAAGACAGCATCAGAGCATCAGCATAATCTTGGAGGCAAAACTGGTCTAAGTCTGTTTTCCAAGCTAAAAATGAGGTACTGTGCTAACTTTCTGGTAACTTCCGAACTTGACACAGAAGTTCACTCTTAGAACTTATACTGTGATGGCTGACCTAATTATGGCTTGCTGAAAAAATCTGAGAGGTTCTGCTTTCAATCCTCCCTTGAACTAACCCTTTCCTCCAACTGTTGTCCCTGCTGGTCACGTGGTCCTGCCTTCCTCCTCGCATTGTCTCTTGCTGAACCTTTGCTGAGTTGTTTCAACTCTCTAAACCCAGTGGGAAACTACTTGCTTCTGTTGCTGCTGTCAGGTTACTTTCCTTGCCGGAGGCAGGGCAGGAAGACCATCCCCACTTGGGAATGGCAACCCATTAGGTCAGGTGAAGCTGTCTTGGAGCCAACGACAACTACCTCCTCACTTCTGCCAGTTTTAAGAGTAGCCAGTTACTACTGGCAGATAATAAATGTTTCCTGTTCATAGATTTTATATTTTGCTGCCCCTAACATTTTTCCTAATATAGGCAGCTATTTACCTTCCCTCACACCCAGCCCAGTGACAAAGCAGCCTCTATTTAAACCACACAACTGCTTCACCAGAGTTACTTTGATAGGGGCAATATCAGCACTTTTTCAGTGGAACTGCCTCATTCTTCTTGAAGTTCCTGAATATTCTGCTGTATTATGACTTTTTTCAAGCAGTATGCGCATGAAAAGCACAAAAAAAAATAAAAATTACCTTTCCCCTTCTGTAGTTTACCCTCCGAAGTGCACTGCTTTCTGAGTTGGATACGTATTCGCTTTGAAGACCTAAGCATGTAAACCAGAATCAAACAGCAGTTAGAACCTGAGCAGATCTAACATAGATGTTTGTGTAACCACAAATTACAGGTGAAAGATTCTTTAAGTTTCTCAACACAGTGCAAAAATTTAGTTAAAGGCTACTACAGTTACTTACTTGGAGAGGTACAAGGAGATTTTACAAAGGCTTCAGGTCTAGGTGCAACTGGCTGAACAGGACGTGTCTGCTTAGCTGCCAGTTTCTTAAGACTTACTTGTCTCTTCTGAAACATTTCTTCCATACTTTCTTGCTTCTGGAAAACCTTTTGCACATGCTCCTATCATTGCCACAGAAACAAAAAATGTAAACAAAAAGTAAAAAAACCCCGTCACAGACCTATCAACAAGACACTTCACCATTTATAGTGCATTGTTTTGAAATAGTGATTACTCTTATACCACAAATAAAAATATTACCCTACTCTTCACTCCTAACAAGGCTTAATTTACAGTCGTTTCGTACACTTAAAAATTGTAACATCACTTTATAAAACATTTTGTGTGCTTGCTGTAGAGAAATCAATGGGGTTCAGGTTTCAATTTAAAAAAAATAGGAATTTTTTTGACAGTGTCTAATGGTTCTGTTACGTGAAGAGATCAATCAAGAGCAAAAGGGACATATTCTCAAGTTCTAAAAAAAAAAACCCCAAACCAGTTACAAAGCAGAACTCATACAAACATCAAGCTTAGGCATGTTTTTGCTACATACAAAGAAGATATTTCAATACTGACTTGTGAGAATTTTTTTTTATAAAAGCAATCCTACTATGTGAAAAATTGAAGTAGTTATTTAAAAGGCTCTGTGCTGGGTTCCAGTTTCCAACTGCAACTCCTAGTACCAATCGTTTAGCTTTATCAACGGCTATGCAGGAGAGCAATTTTAAAATTAACAAACGTACACACAGATACACATAAATGTCTCCTGGTACCTTTAGGTCCTCACTGAGGATGTGCCCATACTCTCTGTAAATTTTATTCAATTCCTTGATTTTATTGCCCGCACCAGTGTCCAGGAATTTCTCAATCTCCTGTAACGCTGATTCTGCACCATCCTGAGACTGACACTTATCTACTGGCTGTGAAGCCAGCAGGTAGATTCCTTCATCGCACCACTTCATACACTGGAAACAGAGAAAAGAACAGACTCAGAATGCACCGATGTCAGCATCAAACACTAAGAGGTCTAAAATGTTTCATACCTATACTTGTGGTGTATTCAGCTATTTAAGGAGAAAAATTCCAGCACACCGATATATTTTTACCTGCCAGCCGGCTGACTGAGGTTTTAGCAAACAAGATGGGAAACAGAACTGATCCATACAAAGTTTACCTTTTCTAGTAAGCCATGCAGTTCTAGAGATTTGTTAAGAAGATTCCTCCTCCGTTCTGTCTCAGTAGTGATGGCATCACAGAGATGATGAAGTTCACTGCATTTTGGGATAATGGAGTCCACAGCATAATGATTGCTTTGAATAAAAGCATCACTCTCCGAGGCTAGCATTCTGGCTTTTGCTACAGTTTCCTAAGAAAGCAAGCACTGATTTAAGTACATCTTTCCATGAATCAACACCAATGAAAAAAAAATTTAAAATTACACCAGTTGTTTTTACACAGTAAAATACACATTGATAAAGAACACATCTTTATTTAACAGCTCCCTTACTTAATAAATCAGAGTAATTTTCTGTCTTCCCAGATGCCCAAGAACTTTTATGCCTTCTTCGTTGTCACATCAGAGTACTTCAGAAACACTGAGTTTAATTCTATACCTCCCTGTGAAGGAATCACTGTTGTCTTTCTACGCATTAGTTACTCAGCAGCATGCTCGTGTGCATACGTATGCTGTTTAGAGTGCAGCAGCAATATGAACCCAAATTAAAAATATCTAACTCCAGCACCTCAGCCTCAAGAGCAACAACCTCAGTTAGAGACATATGTATTTTATTGTGAAGATCAGATGATAACCAGGTTCCCTTTCTATGGTGTTCAGAGCGCATGTTTCTCTTGGTCATCTTTTACATATTGTACATTCAAGACGTAGCTTTCTCATTTCTGAGATTTAACGAAGTAAGTAGCTTTAAGATGAATGGAAGTGGCCCCTCGATGACTAAGTGCACAATCTGTCAATGCAGGTACTTCACGCAATTCTCTCATGAACGGATCACACCAACTTTGTGACTGGTCACTCTGGTCTTTCTTGAGGGATGCCAAAGAACTGGGCTGCTCCAATGATTAAAGACTTTATTCCAAATTCCTTCTGTGCATTACTTGAGACACCGATTCCGCTCTGTTGTCAGCTTAAGCTCTGCTCATAAGATATACTCAATAACCACATGCCATTCCCCTCCGCGCACACTGTCATACTAGAAATCAAGGAGACTTGCAGAGTTCTTACACATGATTTTTCTTCAAAGTTGGCAAGATCTTTCAAAATATGCTCCACATGTGAACAGCTGTTTCCCACATCTGTGAAAGCAGACAGTCTCTCGGACACAATATCCAGAGCTGCTTTGACCTGAAATGAGACACAGCTTTGGATCAATGAAGATTATTCCACCTCTCTGCAGCAGCATCAGATACATAGCTCATGGGCACTATTTCCAGGCAGGTGACTCACATTACGTGGTTACTGGGGCAGAGAGACAAATCACTTTTCTTTTTGTCAGCCCACCTTTATTCCCAATTAAAAATGAAAACAAATACAAAGAAAACACTGTGAAGTAATTCCGTTTCCTGGTACTGAAAAAAAGAAATGCAGAAAACCGATGCTCAGGAAATATTTATGATCTTCCTTCTGCTAGATGGCAATAATACAAAACAACGTAAACAGCAAAACATGAGGTCCTCACCCTAACAATTGGTTGACAGACATACAGACACACACACACACACACACCTGTAAAAGGGTTTCTGAGCATTGCACCCATGGAGACATAGGGGCCATGCTCTGAGATCAGCTACACCAGCATAAAGGGACTGTAGGTGCCATCAAGCATATGAGTTAAACTAACATGAGCTCAGAAACTGGCTGTAAAAATTGTAGTTCAGCCTCCACCCAGCCTCGAATAGTGTGGTTGCAACTTCCCACCCACAGTGTTGGAGACTGTTTTATAAATTTTCAGCCAGAACGTTTAGGTTAAGTCTTGGTTCAATAAATGAGCCTATTGGCAAGATGAAAGCATTGCAACCAGCATATTATGCTTCTGCGGTGGAGAACAGGTTTCAAAGGAGGTTTTGAATGCTTTTACACTGCTGGGTCCATGGTAAAAAAAATAAAAATCTTAAGACTGCAGAAGAGAAGCTATTATATCTCTATGGGGAGTAAAGACAGCAGTATGTCAAGTAAGGACACGTACAAGAGAAAGGTTGGAGAAAGCTTTCAAGCACACACAAGAGCTGCAAAAACAAGACCGGAAGTATTTTCTTCTGAATCATTTCTATATTTCCAAATATTGACTGCCACCAAGAAGTTCTCACCTCTCTGAAATTCTGTTCAAAATTCCGAAGGCGCAGACACTGCTCGAGTTTTTGCTGGTGCTTAATCCAAAACTCATCAAAGGCAGTCTCTGTTTCATGTAATTGAGCCAGAAGCCTTTAAAATAAAAAAAAAGAAATACTGTAAGAATGATGGATGCAACTTTCAAGGGACAATACAATCTTCCACAGTAAACAAAAAGCCTCCCCAAAGCAATATGCTCCAGAAAAATAAACTGGATACAGGAAAAATTTTCAAGTATTGCACAGAATTGTTTCCTAGAATAACATTGATGCAAAACTGAAACCCAATACAAACATTAAGTTCTGAAAAATTGGCAAGTGCTGATTTGAAGCTAGCTGATGCACATATTACTTTTCAGCCCTGGCCTGGGGACATGGAGACTTGGGGCTAACAAACATAAATAAAGCATGCAAATGTGTGTGGGCTAGGACCCAGAGGAACCCAAGCCTTGGGCTCTAAGGAAAACTGAAGGCAAAGATTCGTACTGCTGTGACCAGGCAGCTGCCCTCACATTTCATTCCTTGGAGCAAGGCTCATAATAAACCTGAAGGTCATTTCTCCACCTCTTCTGAGCAGAGTTACTACTTAGAACATCACACGCAAGCGTACAGCAGTACCAAGATGAAAAAAACCCCACATTTTCAATAATTGTTTTGGTGAATGTCTTAAAACCTTTATTTTCCAACTTATCTTTCAGCATTGCATTTGACAGCATGGTATCCTATGGACTTATCTTTAGTGTGCCTTGGGCCATACATCAGAATTTTGTCTTCAATAGCACAGAAATGAACCCTGAATTTACAAGTTAAACCTGATAAGAAAAAAGGTGGGGACACACACAGAGAGTTTGTTCCAACTTCTGTCAGATACTGTACCGAGTAGGAACATTTTGGACAAATTAGCAACCCCCACCCTGACTGTCCTGCGGATAACTGATAGCAACCATGACCAAAAAGAGAGTGACTTCTTCCAAGCTTTGTGGATTGGAATGGACAGTTATTTGGAAAAAATTCAGCCTGCCTGCAATAGAAACACAGAATGACAGACAAAAAAAAGAATGCAGAATACTGCCTGGGGGAAATGAGCTATGCTTTCATAGCTTTGTGCAAATTTACATCTGTGCTATGGTGATATAATGTCTTCAAACCTGGCAGTAATTTAAGGTGGGGGGGGAGGGAAGGGTGGGCAGGGAGCAAAGGAAAACATCATCTATTACTTATATGCCCAAAGGAAGACTGTAGGAAGTTTGTGCATAGATACTTCAAGAGCAGCGTACTCCCCAGTAGCCTTTTAAAGCCTATGAACAACACTGATAACACATCAGCAACGTTAGAAGCTCCTTTGGGCAGGTTTAAAGAAAAACAATTCTCCCACTTTCAATCAAAAGGACTTACGGAAATTGGACAAATCTACTGCAAAAAGGGGATATATAATTTCTGTCTTACCCTCCTGTCCCTCCAGCCGTAAAATTTCCTTGAATTACACTTTAGATTCTAACCAAAGCATTGATATTTTTTAAAATAAGCTGCTCAACTATATAGTCCAAATCTGATACACAAAAAAAAAAAAAAGAAAAAAAGAACAGCGTTACTTTTTCAGTAACAGAACTCAGACCCCTTTCCCTATTTGCTTACAGCAAGGTGACCCAGTAATGGACATCAGGGGTTTATTTTGCTCAGGACAGATCTGACAACAGAGGAGTTGATTCTGAAAGCACCTTTTATATGTCACAATGTCAAATTTGCTTCTTTGTTAAGCATGCATATGGAAATAAGTAAAAGAGCTGGGAAGGGGTCAAAATAAAAAGAAAAACACCCAAAGCAGAAAAGCAGCACGTTCAGTATCTCACTCCTCTCACCTTTCTACCGTCGTTTGATTGTCTAGCTGATCTTGATTCAGTTTGTATTCAGGATTCTCAGAAACTGGTTTTGTAATACTTGCAAGGATATCATCTCCCTGTTCTACTGCTAGCCTGATATCCTCCTACAAAACAAAATGAAAACCTCATACACTGTAGTTATATCTTGTTTCTTTAAGCAGACTTCATAAGGCACCAAACTGGAAAAAAGGTTTTGTTTTAATAGCAATAGAGCAAGCATAGTTTGATTAAAAGCAGTGTTTGACAACAAATGCAGACAGTAAATGCTAAATGTCAGCTGCTTTTACATTTACCATCCTGAGACCCCAGTATAAATGAGTTGAATTGTCATAATAGACAGCCTTCAAGTGTCTCCTTAGGTTACAAATATTGGAAAAGTTTTAAATATATAGTTTTGAAACCCCCAATAAGCTGATTTGAAAGAACATTTGTCCATTCCTCAAAAGGTCATATATTTTTCACATGCATGCAAAAACAATCAAATTTCTTGTTGCAAACAAAACTACAAGTTAAACACAACACTACTTAAAAGAATTTCTGTTTCCGCATACAAGTCCTTATGCATTCATATAAAATATATATAAACTTAATATATAAACTTAACCTCAAGAAATGTCACTTTTACTGCAAAGAAGTTTTTGAACATCAAGTTCAATAAGTTTTTTATTTTTTGCATTGTCTATTAACATCCTTCAGATCTTCTATTAACATTATTAGCTATACATTAAAATACAGTTTAACTAGAAGACAATATCTTTACAGAAATTACATACCTTCATTTTGTCCTTCTTGTCTGTGTGTGTTGCAAGAAGGGAGCTGGTTGACTGCACATCATTTGGTAGCTCTGTTTCAGCCAGCTCAGCCCCAAAGGACTGAAGAATCTGAGCTGTTTGCTTGACCTTTTGGGCGAAACTTTCTATAGCCTTTTGAAAAAAAAAAACGAAACCAATTACAGATGTTTCATGCTCATCACATGCATATGTACAGACAGACAAACAGACACATACACACACAAAATGTAACTCAAAACAAACCCAAGCAGATGAATTACACAATTGAAAAATGGTCAAAGTATAATTTTGCAAGCAACAGATACCGTCACCATTAATTCCTTAATTGTATATTTTTCCTAAGCTTGTATCAGGTGTATCTTCCTCATATTTTTATAATCTGGAGTTACTTTACAACTTGAGCTTTTTCTCTCTCGTAGCAAAAACAATAAACCTCGACACAATAATGCACTCTAGTTCTTTTGCTCCAAGTGTTGCGAAAACCACTCCCAAATTATTACTCATATTATTTCTCTAAAATGACTAAGTACCACTGGGAACATCTCCTCACTCCAAGCAAGTCAACTTGCATCACTTGGAATCTGTTTTATAAATGACAGGGTATAAAATAGAAGGGTTCATTAAACTGGAAACTTAAAACAGAAACTAAGACTTACAGTGCGACGGGACAGCCATCTGTTATGGCAGTAATCCAGGGTGCCACCAAGATCTTCTGTTAATTGTGTTTTATCAATGTAACTCTGCAGTTCTGATACTGAGCCCAGCATTATGATCTACAGCAGCGAAGAAAAAAGGCAACGTAATCTGTGGCAAGAAGGCCCTTGTTAAGGACTCTAAGCCCCATCATTCAGCCTCTAATAAAGAAAATTCAGTTTAATACAGAAACGATGGAACTATTTCCTTTGGGTATAAAAACCCAAACAATAGTTGTTTCAGTTGAAGATGATGTAAATGTAAAAATAACTGCATATGAACATGTGCAATAGACATATAATAAAAAGCTTATGAATTATACAACATAAATGACACCATCAGCTTTTTCTATCTTGATAAACCATAGATGGCTATTTTCTAAGAGCAACATTAATTTCTTGTTCGTGTTCTCGTGTTATCCTGAGTCCGTCAGAGAAAACAATAGTATCTCCATGGATCTGGGATGTAAGGACTGGTTCCTCAAAATGAATGAGAGGTGAGAGAGAAAAGTATCTTAAAGACTGTATTTCACCCTTGAAATTTACATCTGTTAGGTAAAATAACTTGTAAATCTTTAGTTCATATAGTTTCAAAGTTTACTTTAAATTATAAATGCTGTAGATTTACAAACAAAAGTGTAACCAGTGGGTTTACTGGCATCAGTTGTACGCTTGTTCAAATGATAGAAACGAGAGTATTTGTCTATGTCACATGCATTTGCCTCAAAATTCACATACTCGGTCAAGAATAAACCATCATGAATTAGCCAAAGTTGCTGGAACCACTTTTAGACATGGCTTTTTGTTGGGATTTTTTTGATCCTCACTGGCTACATTAAGAATTGTAATAGATTCCTAACAGTAAAGGGAAGACAGAGGACTACTTACAGGTACTTTCATTTTAAACTCATCTTTGTTGAATTTGAAAGCAATGTCTGAGAGAGCACGATGAAAAAATCCCGTTGGGCGCAGGACGAGGACTAGTTGCAAGTTTCCTGGGAAAGCTGCCTGCAAAACAAGTTCAGCCTGTTATTTTCTCATCTCGGCTCCAAAAAACCATATTTGAACGAAGAGAAGCACCTGTTAAACCACAAACTAACCGTATCAAAGGCCTCCCATAATGGAGTGACCAGTTACAAAACTGCAAGGCTTGCATAAAAAGCTCCATTCAAAGAGATATTTACTCATCTTTAAGAACAGGAATCTACTCTGCTGGACTGGCTTGCACCGTTCTTCAGCTAGGACTGCATCCTAGTTAAGGAGGCTAACGAACAAACAGCAGTGGCGTAGTACTTTTGCAACAGCAGTACTTTCACAGTTATCTTTATTTAATAGCGGGTGCCAATAGAAATGTCCATTATTGTCTGAACCCCTAACAACATGTTTCTGATTCGTGCATATACTACCTTGCCAGCTGCCTGCAGAAACTATTGCCACTGAGACTGAATTTCTTGGGCAGTAACTTAGAAATAAGCCTTAATTTTGTACACAAAAAGAAAAATCAAACATTCTGAGTTGTCGTCGTTTTTCATTAGCTTCCAACTAGTAGTCTAATGGATCTTATCAGTTCTACAAGTGATCAGGGGAAAGCAGAAGACATGAGAAGGAAAGAAGAAATAGCATTAAATTACTAAAAATAAACCTCTGTCATGGCAGAGGTTTGTACACTTGGCATGTAGCCGTTCTTGAGATTATGCAAGTTTTCTCCCCTATTCAGTATTTCCACTGTAGGGAGGCAGTGGAGCTCACTAAAGAAATGATCATCATGATGATTAAGTACGTAATTTTCTTCATGTACTGTTGGAAATTATGTCACATTTCTAGCAAATTTAATTACTACTGAAAAAGAAAAAAGCCAACCAAAGAAAACACACGCTGACTGAAGGAACTGTCTTGCTATGCTCTGTTTTCATGCCTAGTGAAACTGTCAGTAACTGGAAGGTTGGAGAAGTAGTTTAATATTCATTTTGAGATTTCCAAGGGTTTTGAGTATTTAGCACTGGAAATAAACTTTTAAAGAGAAAAGCAGTTACAATCCTTTCTGGAAGACTTCACAGATTCATTGTGGTTCCCTATATATTCAGTATACAACCGAGATCTCAATTTGATTGAGTAACCTTAAAGGCTTAAGCTTCACAATGTGTCTCCACTCCAGTGATATCCAAATTTTCTAGAAAGCACAGTGGTTTGGTCCCAGAGGAGTCTGTCTGAGGGCTGGGAACATAATCCAGATAACTCTGAGTGCCCACACTACCTCCTCATCCTTGCATGGTAAACAGTCTTTCTCTGTGTACTAAAAAGCAGTACACTCTGAGGACCTACTAATCCACAGTTATCAGAGGAAAAACTTTTTATAGAAAATTCCTGACTGTATTCAGAAGAAAGAGTTAAGAGATTATTTTTTTACTATTTTTCTCTGAACTACTGTAATGCAAGGGTGACTGCAAATTTATTTAAGAAAAATTTTTAACTCATACTAGGAAACATTGCAAGAATGGACAAAAGAGGTGGATTTTTTTATTAAATCTCCTGAATAATCTTTTATGAACAGTACCCATGTACTCTATTCATTTCATACAGTCAGAAGATGTGTCTATTCTGTGACTTCAACAGCAGCGTTCAGAATCTGAGCTGTTAATTTTCACCTTCAACTTCCAAAATGTGGTTTATTCAATAGCAATGTCAACATTTCAGAAAGCTCTGAGGAGAACTATTTTTTAGGAACACATTTTGAAAAAAATAAGGCGTCTTCATGCAAGATATCCATGCCACCACATGACATCCAGACATACCGTCCTTGGCAGTGCATGTTTACAACCCATTTAGACTCACCCAGAATACAGGGAAATGCCTATTCTCTTTGCTTCAAGTTGAGTAGATACATTAGAAACACACAGTGGCATGAAATTATGAAGCACAAAAGATGCCACATAGTAAAAGTAAATTTAAGTTACACATGAGCGTACTAAATTTCTACATTCTAACATTAAATTCTCACTTTTACACTTTGTGACCGTAGTCTAGGTTTTTACTCCACAATTTCAGAGACATATATGCTGAAAGGGACTTGGGGATGCTGGTGGACAACAAGCTGGACAGGAGTGAGCAGTGTGCCGCTGCAGGAACCAAGGCGAATCGGATGCTGGGCTGCACCAGCAGCGGCACGACCAGCAGAGAGAGACATGATCATCCTGCTCTGCTCAGCGCTTGTCTGGCCGCACCTGGAGTGCTGTGTCCAGTTCTGGTCTCCACAGTTCAAGAAACACATGGGCAGACTGGAGAGGCTCCAAAGGAGGGCCACAAAGACGATCAAGGGGCTGGAGAACCTGCCCAATGAGCAAAGCCTGGAGGAATTCAGTCCCTTCTCCCTGGAAAAGTCCTCAGGGAGACCTGATCACGGTGTTCCAGTTGCCGCTTAAAGGGCAGCTACAAAGAGGACAGAGGCTCTCTCTTCATAAGGAACCATGTGGAGAGGACAAGGGGCAACAGGTACAAGTTGCACCAGGAGAGGTTTCATCTCAATATAAGAAAGAATTTTTTTGCAGTGAGATCAATTATTCACTGGAACAACCTCCCCGGAGATGTGGTAGAGTCCCCATCACTGGAGGTTTTCAAGATGAGATTGGACAGGGTGCCAGATAATCCCATTGAGGCTCCCTTTCCCCATGAAAGGTTGGGCCAGATGAACTTTCAAGGTGTCTCCCAACCTGAAACAGTATTCTGTGATTCTACAATATTTAGGCTATTACAGAAACAAATGGTAGTAGTCAAATGCAATGCAATAGTAAATTTGTATGTTAGTGCTTGGGGAATACAGAGTTTAACTCTGCGACCAAATTAAGTAGGGTATCTCATTATTGTTCAATTCAAAGTAAATAAACAGAGAATATACATTGTAATTCTCCATTTCAGTAAATCTACCCTAAACAATGCTCTTCAAGTCACTAGTCTTGTACCACTTCAACTCCCATTCAAGGTTTGCCAGAAGTTTCCCCTTTCTCTCAACTAAAGCTCAAATTCTAGATAAATCTAACTTTGCTTACAATACCATTCTTGTCTCCACTAGTCTGTCTAATGCTTCCCATTTGTAGGGTATTTTTTCCAAAAAAACTCCCCAAACATACCACAGATATACTAAACATACCTAACTAGTAAGTCTTTAAAAATGCCTCCTCTGCTTGTTGTGGCTAGGAGTCAAAACTGCAAACTGATCTCTGTGAAACAAGAAAAGGGAGGATTGCCACAGTAAACATTGTTGGACCTGTGCAAGCCATTCCAGTTTATCTGAGCTTATATTCGCACTGCAGAAATATTACTATTTTCCTAACTCTTTTTTCCCTAAAGCTCCGATTATTTGCAGAGACAATATAATGCAAGAAACATTTCTTAGATGCATGTGAGCTTCATCAACCACTCAACTTTACCCTGAACTGGAGAACAAAAAAAATTAATAAAGACCTCCAGTCCAGCAGCATATTTGTTTGAAGCCATTGTATAGTAGGCAAACAGACTTCTCAATATTGCTGTGCCAATGTTAAGCAGAAGAAAAAAAAAAACTGCATGTGTTTAATAGTGCCATGAAATAAACTGCCTCCAAAGACTGTTTCAGTGAAGTCAATGAACATCACTGTCACTTGAAGAATGATTTGGTGCTTGAAAACTGTCTTTTTCCAGAAGTGTCCATCTTAGATCAATTAATAACAACTGCTCCCCCAACATCTAGTCTCAACACGGCATTGTAATTCATTTAATGTCTATGTAAAAGAGACCAGGGACCATGTTTTTGTCACCCTCTATGAAAATTATTCTAGCCGAACTTATCTATTCCTTTATTTTACTTGCATCAGCACTGGGACTTGTTTCTTAGCTCATGACAGTTGTAGGATTAGTTTTCTATCTGCTTATCTCCTTCACTTTCCCATCCAGTCAGGCCAGCGCTGATTCTGGAGATACAGAAGAAGATGCAGACCTGCATCTAATTATCAGCTTTGAAATAAATGTTTGCAAGTCAGGCATTTATATACAGCACAGCCCTTAAAGCTTTCCAATACAGAGACCTTTGCTGCCCTACAAGTACCCCAAACATGGAGATTGGGCAGAACTTTCACTGGCTGGACAAAACAGGAGCTATCTTAAATCCTCAAAGAAACTACTTAAATATTCAGGAGCAGGTTGACCTGCCTGCTTTCATGGGAAGCTTTCCACTGCATGCTCCAGGCTTCTGGAAAGAGAGAATCTTAAAGAGACTGAACCCAGCTGGGTTTTGGGCAAAATGTAAAATTAAGTTACTTGCATGCAATCTTAATTATCACTTGTCTTCACAGAATATTAACAGCTGCCTGTGGCACCAGTCCTGACCCTGAAGTTAAGCAGCCGCTAACAGGAGGAGGCCATCTCACAGATGAAGATGACACGATGCTGAACGGCTGGTAAGGACCCACAGAAGCTGAGCAGGAAACAACCCCTGCCTGATGATCGGTAAGGGGTGGTGGCAGCTTACTTGAGAGGAAGGAAGGAAGGACAGCTTTTCTCCAAGGACAGGTACCGAGATTCTTCCTGTCTTTGGTTGCCACTGTGTAACGTGGTGCCAACAGGGAGCTATTTAAATCACTCCATATTTTTACCTCCACCAGCCAGACAAAGCAGCAATCCCACGCACTCCTGCCTGACAGCAATTGTATATAGGCACATATGTGCAATAGGCTATTGGGCAGATGGCACTTTTAAAGAAGGAATAAGTCCCACTAAATCATGTTCTTTACAACAGTCACAATATTCACTGAGACAGGACGCTGGGCTGCCAGGCTGCCGCTCCCCCGAGGAGGCAGTGCAGAAGCAGAGCGGTGGCTGGCATCTACAGCCAGGAACCAGTCACTACAGCTTTCAGCTGTGAAGTGACCTTTTGGAAAAGAAAACAAACATCTTTGAGTTTTCCTATCCTAGGTTTCCTCCTAGGCCTTATTTAGTATATGAAGGGAATTATGTGGATAGATACGTATACCTTGTAG